TTGAACAATGATCACCAATAAATCTTTGCATGTACATTTTTTCTTGTTGTATATTCTAATTTCAAGCTAATTTTTGGGTTCTTTCTTGCTCAGACACTGGTCTTCTACAATTCCAATAACATCATAATGAATGGATTGTCTTTGTTAGGTTTTAATTATGTATTGGCAATTCTGTAAATAAAGGGACTTAATTGTAAATGTTGTAAAAAGTCAAGGAGTAATGGGCAATTATGTGAAAATAGGTTTCTTAGGTCTAAGGTTCGAGTATGGCAAAAGACTATGGTGTGGATTTTTGCTTGACTGTTGTCATGGATTGGCTCAAGCGTAAAAAAAGAACCTCCAACGCTTGACTGTCGCCCTGCCTTAGCTCGAGCGACAACCTATCGCTGAGCTCTCGCTCTAACGACAGTGATGTTCGGGAAATTTTTATTTCGTGAGTTAAAGGCTTTTTCGTTGGCCCATCACTTTTCTAACCTACCTATAAATACTAAAACATATCTGAACGCGAATTTTAAGGTTGATCATTGAAAGAACTTCATGTGAGAGAATACAATCATATTTCTACTTTCAACCTTCATCTCTTGAGTTTGTTTTGGAGAGAAAAACATCGATTTCATAATCCAAATACTAAATTGTTCTTTCCATCACATCAGTAAGAGTTGCTGAAGATTGAGGAAAGTTGACTGGAAGTTCCAGTCGTTGAAGAACACAGTGTTCTCCGTAGATCCACTGGAGATAAACGATTTCACGAAGGTGGGACTTGCTGCATGAAAGCACAATCTANACTTGCTGCATGAAAGCACAATCTAGGAGGATTTTGGAAACTGCAGTTGGGAGTAGTGCAGGAGCACAGAATCCAGGAAAGTTATTGGAATTACAGTCAGAAGATCAGATAGTACGTGTCATCATCGAGGTTAGTAGAATGTAAGTTACAAATCGTTTATAGTGGATTGTTGACTGGAAAAGTGCCCAGAGTTTTTTCCAGTTGGGTTTCTCCGTAATCATACCGTTTGTTGATTTACTGCTTTATTTATTGTTTATAAAATTTGCGGTATTCAAACATAGGATTAATCTGACGTGATTTTTTAACCATCTAGAAATAACAATTGGTGACTTATTGCTAATTTGTTATAATATTTTTAATTCTGTATTATATACGTATTCATCCCCCTCTAGGTATTGTTAGAGTTGAACAACGTAACTTTCAGTCTTCAATAAATAGCCAGAAGTTCACATTCTTATTGATGTATGCCACAATGCCAAGCTAGCAGGATTGAAGGTTTTTGCACCAGGCAACAG